CCACATTGGCCCTTTTCCAGTCCCCTGGCACCTGTCCAGAGTACCACAAATGCTCATAAAGCCATGCCAGGGGTCCCGCAATGACCCCTGCCAATTCCCTCAGCACCCTGGGGTGGAGATCATCTGCACCTGCTGATTTAAACATGTCCAGCCCCACCAGAAGTTCCCTAACTAGGTCTACTCTGACCCTAGGCCTGGCGGTGCCTCTCCTGAGTCCATCCAGAATCCCAGTGGGGACGATGTCCTAGTCCATGCTCAGAAAAATGGAGGCAAAGAATTTGTTAAAGAAGTTAGCTTTATCGTCAGGTGCAACCACCAGACTGCCAAGTGTGTCCTGCTCTTGAGGCTGGGAGCTCCAATCTGCTGATGCCTGGCTACACATGCCATTTAAGGTGCAATGCAAACCAGCCTCAAGATTATACATATTGTGTGTAAAAAAATCATTACATATTTTGTGTAATAATTCTGTGGCTTATTACTTGTTTTACTGTGCCTTTAACTGCATTAACATGTGGCCAGGTAACTCCTTAACACAATTACATGGTTAATGTCTGCCAGGGGCCTCATAATAAAGTCATAGATGGCAGGGTGGATTTGGTTGGGAAGCCACAAATCAATCATTGTTTTGTACAAAAAGTACATTCTTTGTTTGTTAAAACCTTAATGCATATTATTCACAACTCAAAAGTAGATGTAGGTTTCATTTTTAGAAGGTACACACTATACATTTTCAAGCAGTGATTTATTTTGATAATTTTTCAGGTTAATTTTGCAGTACATCAGCAAACTAAATTATGATTTGTTATTTTATTTACCAAAGCTAATTGAAGCAGATACTTGTGAAGTCAATGGGAGGTGAACTATCTTCAATTCACTAGAACAATCATAGATATTTGGGGGATATTTTTGCCACACTGTATTAGGAGGACATCAAATGAGCACTGCAGCCATTTGTTATTAGCTTGGGGCTTCACTTTCTTCAAGATTTCTTCTCATCTTTGATTTCTTTTCTCTTCTACAGCCTGGCAAGCCTGCTGCAATGATAGGCTTTTCCTTCTACCATACCATTCCCTCACTAGATTTCAAATCAGTGAAGAGGTTCTACTCAGAAACTTATCCCATAAGACTTCTGGAACATTCTGCTTAAAAATGTTTCTCTTTTGTTTCTACTTCCCCTCCCTTCTTGCATTTATCTCCAGACTCCTCTTCCTTGCCCAGATCTACTCCACCCCCAACAATCCTCTATTCATTTAACTTCTTGAAACGGTGCACTTTTAGAGAGAAATAAGGGCTTGATTCTGTGTATACAAACTTGCAGAGAGATGATAGGGCTGATCAGTAGGTAATCAGGTCTGTTCTTTCTCATCTCCATATACTGCTGTTAATAAGGATGTTATCTCTGAAGACACAAATCCACAGTTCAAGAAATTAAACTAAGCATCACAGAAATGCTTAATGGGATCTTCTAGACAGAGACTGAGTCCCATTGGGTAAAGTGGTTTTCTTTAATTTTTACTAATCTATAGAGAAGTCTCTGGGAACCCAATAAGATTGGGCCCCCAATATAGTGCATGGCCTGTTGTGATCTATATATAAAACTTTTCTTAAAAGAGTACATGAATATGCTGTCTCAAATAGTATATAATTAGAATAATTATAATTAGATTAATCTATTCTATGATGATATCTTTGAGCTTTAACATATCTTAAATTTAAACTATCTTTATATAGGTTTGGGTTTTTTTTTAAAAAGCACCTTAACAAAAAAAATGATTACATACAAAAAAAATTATTAGTTTTTTAATTGCTGATTTTTTGCCACCCTAATAGATGGTCATCTAAGGAAAAATCTCTAGACATCAACCTGGCAATAAGGGAAAAAGGACAATGTTTAAGTGAAGTCAATAATGCAAAGGGACAGACAGTAGGGCTGTGCGCATCTTTGGTCCCTGATTTGATTAGGTGGAGTTTCGGCCTGATTCAGTGGCCAAATCTCCAAATCAGAATTGAATCAGAGGACCCTTTAATCTTTCCAAATCAAATTGGAACTCTCCAAATTGATTCAGAGAGATTTGGAGATTTGGATGTAGACACAGCTTTAAGTGTTTTTTCTACATACCTCTAGGTAGCAGGTGGCTCGTGAATGCTGCAGTGCTGGGGTGCATGCAGTGTCCCACAGAAGCACAGGGGGCTCCCCAGTGCACTCAGTAGCAAACCCAGAAGTGGACCAGAAGCACTTCCAGCCCACTTCTCGGTCCACTGGAGAGCACACAGGGGGGCCCCCATGCCCCCTGGCTCAGCAACTGGTGCCTCCTGGGTCTGGGGGCCAATTGCCAAGCCGGGGGGGGGGCCTGCAGCGCACTCCCCAGGGGTCCCAGAAGTGGACTGGAAGTACTTCAGGTCTACTTCCGGGTTCGCCACTGAACACATGGAGGACTGGTACCTTGAGTTATCTAGAAAAAACACTTAAAGCTGTGTCTGTGTCTGAATCGCTGATTCTCTGAATCAGCATCAAATCTTCAGATTCAGATGTGGCTGAATTGAATCAGGAACAGTGATCCGAATCAACTAATTGAATCACTGTCCCTGATTAGGGCCAAATCCGAACCCAAATCAAATAGGGCCCACTGCACACACCCCTGACAGACAGGACAATGGTTCCATTTCCTTAGGAAAATGTGTTCCCCATCAGGGTACTGTCATTTCCACAAATTCTTACTGCAGAGTTAGGGAATCACCTTTTTCAGCATATGGGATTCTAATGCACTTTCCGTCTTCTCCTCGAAACTGCCATCCATGAAATGGGCATTCAATGCAGTTCCCTACAACGTGGCCCCCAACGGCAAGGTTAGCCCCAAGGTGTGGGCAATAGGCATCTACCACATATGCTCGTCCATCCAGAGCACGGAACACAGCAAGCTGTTCCCCTGCACATCAAAATGAAATTACAAGGTTAAGCTGTCCACCAAGACAACAGTCTTACTTTAAGGGTTTGATCAACACATACTGACATACCCCTTTTGCTTCTTTCAGAAAGTGGGACTTGGAGAACATGAACTATGCTGTGAAGCAAAGTGAGTTTTTCCATTCAGACAGTTCCCATTCCAGTTTTCTTGGATTCCCTCAGCAAAGTTTACCTTGTTAGGCAGAATTGCTACCATGTGGTCAATACAGGTGAACTAAGCTTTTATTTCTCTGTCAAACTAGTCCTTCAGGGAGTTATAAAAAGACTATAGAATCAGTCCACATTCATCTTTAATGGCCAGTTGTTTTTAAGTGTTTTTTTACTCTTGCATAAGTTAACAGCTTAAGTACCTGGGAAACACAGAAGCATCCTAGGTACTAAATGCAGTGTTATGGAAGCTACTAAATGCAGTGTTATGGAAGCTATTTGAGCCTATTGATCTATAGCAGCTTCCCAGCCCACAGTTACCCAGAAAATTAGAATCACTTTCCTGTCCATGTTACTAGAGGTGTCATTTGCAGGATATAAATCTGAGCACTATATTGTAGAGGTTTGGTGATCCTTTCCCTAATTTTAATTTAATTTCAGATAGTTTACAACAGACCTGCATAATCTCAGGAGTTCTGAAAACAGTAATGCTGACAGCTGGTGAAAGCATAAGGCTGACACCAATTATGAGATGCACAGATGTTCCACACAAGCAAGCCTAAATGGAATGAATTTCTTAGAAATAGTTTTCATCCAGGCCATCACACTTAGCGGCTCCACTTGCATTGCTCTTGAGTACGTGCAAGAGCCTGAGATGCTTAAGAAACTCTACAGTCCACAGTGGAGACACAGATGATGTTAAGTGCCAAATCCAGTTGGCTCTGCTGGCTCACAGCCAGTTTGAATCACTTTTTGGAAATTAGGCCACTAAACTCTGCCTGTGCCTGGTTTAGGCACTAAGGGAACCAATTCAAATCAGGCCCAAAGGCCCTGATTGCATTGGTAAATTAGGCATCTAAGTCAAAGATAGTGTCCAAATATCTTTTAAATCTGATCCAATATGACTTCATGCAGAACCTCAGGGGCTATCTGGATATCACTGCATTCAGCTGCAGAGATGCACTGCAGTGGCAGAAGTGAATAACTGATTACAAATGGCTACCCAGAGAGGTTGTGGAATCTCCACCCTTAGATTTTTAAGACCTGGGTAGACAGAGCTTTGGATTGGATGATATAAATGGGGATGGTCCTGCTTTGAGCAGGTAGTTGAACTAGATGACCTCCTATGGTCCCTTCCAATCCTAATTTTCTATGATTCTATCAAATGGAGGCCTCCTATTCTCTTCTATAAGAAAAAGCCACTTCTATATGGAAGCACCAGTGGGATTAGTCTGAATATGCTGTTTGGCCACAAGATGGCACCAAACTGCAGCCAGATGAATCCAGCTTGTATGCAGCTGGTGCATACTTTTAGGGCGCTGACCCAAGTGCACAGCCCTCTCCCACCACCCACCCCCACTCTAACTCATGGCGCTTTATGTAATGCGCCATGAGTTAGAGTGCCCCCCAAACCAACAGGTGTTTGCCTGTTGGGTGGGGAGGGGTGAGGTGGGGGTGGAAAAAAATCAAGCTCTGCTTTAAAGCCAATCAAGCCCAAGAAGCCCACCTGCAGCTTCTCTCCCTAGCCCTGCCCTGCTGCCCTCCCAGCTCCAATGCTGTCTGGAGGAAGCGAGTAGGATCAAGCTGCAGGCTGGGGTTTCCCCAGCCTGAGTTGGAGGGGGGCTTTGGGGGGCCACAAGGTGGGGGGCTCCAATCCACCTGCCCCCTTCAAGCTCAGGCTGGGCAAACCCCAGCCCTCAGCTCGCTCTGCCTCCCCCAGCCCCCTCCCTTCCAGCAGACAGCCCTGGGGTGGGCCTGGGCTACATCAGCCCAGCCCCAATTGGGCAAGGGATTGACTCTAGGGAACAGAAGTTCTCTAAGGTGCTCCAAAGTGGAGCACCTTTGTCCAATTCCTCATTTGATGAAGGTTAATTTGTTGCATGATCAGCCACTTTTAAAGCACTCTGAAGCCATGCATGTGGGTCACAGCACAACTGTAGAGCACCTTAAGGGAGCTGATCACGTGTCAAATGTAAGTTCTGTCTGCACCCCTAGTGTAAATACCTTCAGGTCTGAATGGGTAGAAAGAGATGTAATTTTCTGGAAAGGTTAAAGCAGAGGTGTTTATTGAGTGCTATGGATGAGTCAGTGGAGCACTACAAAGATATTCAGTGATTAATGACAAGGTCTCAGTCAACTCCTTCAGTAGTTTTCCTGTTCCTCTAGAGCACCATTTCAGTCTAATAGCCTGGGCACACATTTTACCCCTGGTGTGACTTACACTGGTTTTATACACTGATATAAGCCATACCAGTCTCCAGAGTGGATTGGCAACCATCTTCCCTCGGGGAGCTGCTGCACCACTGTGGGTAGGTGTAGATATTTGGGGAGGTTAGATAGAGTAAAAAATGGCCACCCAATCTAAGGTAAGTTGAGATGGGGAAGGCAGATGAGGGGTTGGGAGGATTGAGGGGAGGGGCAAACAGACTCTGTGGAGGGGGGAAATCAGGGGAACCAGGGGGCAAGCAAGGTCCACAGGGGGTTGTCAGAGTCAGGGGGGCTCACAGGGTCCATGGGGACCCTCCTCCCATCCCCAGGGAATGAGATATTTTTAGCCCCCCAAACCACCACCCCCATCTCACTTTCCCCTCTCCCTACCTCAATGTACTACCTTAGCTCCCAGTGTTGACTTGCATGATGGGGTTTGGTGGGCTCCGGGGCAAGGGGTGCTGTACCTTGGACGTACACTTAACTTAGATCAGGTCAGCCATTTTTAGACCAATCTAACTGTCCTAAACTTCTGTACAGTTCACAATGAGATCCACCTAACCAGAGATCTAAGCATGAGGTCTGCACCTGGATGAGCTAAGTTAGATTGGATGTCATTTTCAATGCAATCTAACCTCCCCAAATGTCTGTATGTACCCTATGTGGCAGAGAAGCTAGTAATACCTTATTTGCCTTGGGCAAACTTACACAAGGTTATTGTTACCCTTGATATTTCCTATGCTAACTCTACACCCTATATAGTAACTTGCACCAGTGTAAAACTAAACGCCATGTGTCTGCTCTTTGTTTAGGCTGTAAGGACAAATTATACTGATGTGAAGTATCAGTGACCAGACTCTAAGCCTGATATTAGGGCTGCGCGAAGATTCAGGTGGTGATTCAATTCAGAGGAGATTCAGCCCAATTCAGTGGCCAGATCTCCAAATCTGAATCGAATGGGGGGACCAATAAAAAGGTCTCAATCAATTCGAAGCTCTCTGAATCTTCGGAAAAGATTCAGAGAGGTTCAGTGATTTGGGCAGTCCCCACCCACTGCAGCAGGGAGCTGGAGGCGGACTCAGAGCTGGTAAGTAGGGAGCGGGACGGGGGGTGCTGGAGGAGGGGGCAGGGGACCATTGGGAGACACCTGCCATGCCCTGCCTGCTCCCCCAGCCCCCCTCCCCCAGCTCCCAGTGCTTTAAAAAAGTCCCTAACCTCACTGGGTGCTGCTGGGCAGGGGGGCTTATCCCTGCTGCCCCACCGCCCCACACTGTGTGGGG